AGGCTTTAGGACAGTTAACAGTAGTTCATTAGTTGACTTCTGGCTTTCCAGTATCTCTGGGTTACCGTCGTTGTCTTTGGGGCTGGACACCGAATCAGGTGGGCCTTCTCCATTTCCTCATGTCGGTCACATAGGGGCCATGGTGATTGAGTGTATAATCCTAGTCTGTGAAGGCGCTTAGGCAGGCAAGCGTGTCCGGTACGCAGTCTAAACTCCGCAACAGCTTTGGCTCTTGGCCAGTCAGCTATGTTGGAGAGTGTCTCTGTCCACTGCTTCTCTTTGTTCGAGTCTTAAGTTCATTGCTTCTTACAGTCTTGAATTCCTTTCTGATTAAGGTCTTCATTGTGTGGAAAGACATCGACCGGTTTGATTAAGGTCTTCATTGTGTGGAAAGACATCGACCGGTCTATGCCTTTTAAAATTTGAGTCCCCTTCTTAAAGTAAAAGGGGGAAATTATTCAAATTAAAAGCTACTTTTGATTGAAAGATTAAGCTATAATTTTCATGTTTATTGTCTAATAAAGAGTTCTATGTCAAGCCAGCCTTAATTCTAAGAACTTAATCTTTATTTTGACATGGAGTTCCTAGTTCGTTAGTAATTTTCTTGTTTGGGATACGACTGATTAATTTTCAAATTGAATCATCCATTCATTAACGATGCCCATTGAGATTTCCCACCTTGATTTCAATACTTCCGCCACAACTCCCTTCCCGTAGGTGAGGTATGTTCAATTTCCTTAGTTCAGAATCGTGTTTTGAATGCTTGGAGAGAATTGTTATTTATTACTATGGTAGATCTTCATTATCCACCTTCTAACAGCAACCCCCCTGATTCTGTTTACAAGACCAGACAGTTGTGGCGGTCCTGCGAAAACGGAGAGTTCGTTCATCTGTATTCACATGGAAAATCTAGTTTATCCTATTTTCGTTTTGTTTTTGACTGAAATTAAATTACTGAAGCCAATTTCAAATTACGCTCCAGTTTCTTTAGAAGTTTAACAGATTGCCATTTATTGTAATATGAGATACAATAGCATCAACTGGAAATATTACACTAATACGAGAAGTTAAAATTTATGTAATGTTTCAAATAAGTGCGTTGGCACATTTCAAAGTCTTAATGGAGATTGGTGAAGTGTTAAATTTATATTTTGGGTTCTCCACCCATCTTTTCCTTGGATCTGGATCAAAGCATTCAATGAACGTAAAATAAAAAGTCTCTTCAAGGAGTATAGAGACTAGCTGTTCATAGTTATGAATTTTCTCAATAGTGGCTAGAAGTTTTGGCATTTTACGCTTCATCACTAATAGTACTAGAGATAATCAGGAAATTTATCAGAATATTAAAGGAATGAGATTGCTCTGGATTATAGAAGATCACAAAGAACGAACTAATAATAATTTTATGAGGCATGTACATGAATGCAAGATGTAAAGAAGCATTAACTTAGGTGCCACTGTATTTTAGATGGGAAGGTGGGTATAAGTGTCAATCGGAGGAATTTGTAATTATATTGGCAGTATCTGAAGTGAACAAGCGCCTGTGTACTCGAATCTCAGCTGTTATTGCATAATAGGTGGGTTGACTCCGTCAATAAACAAATAAGCTTCAAATTCAATGGCACATACTGTCTACTAAATTCTAGGAGAGTGATCACCAAACTTAAATATAATAGAATATAATTATTATGAAGAATTTCGAGTTGTGGAACTTCAAATGCAATTTAAATATGAGGTTGCAACCTTCGTACTAGGATATCTATTATACGCTGGTTGATTAATAGTGGGACTGTCTTTCGGGTATTTTATTTAATTAGAACTGCTAATTATGTTGGAAGCAGGCAAGTTCGCAAGAAGAAATAAGGGTTGCAGTTTGCAGTAATAAATCAGATTCTTCAGGACCTACACTTTTCGATTTAACTTTAGGACTCTGAAAGGTGAGCAAAACTTTGGTCTCAATATATCTGAATATTCGCTTAAGCTTCTTATGAACACTGTGCAAAGTAGATTGGTTTTTATACTAATCTAAAAATGTTAGTTTTAAAGGCAGAGAAATTTATATATTGGTATTAACGCTGATATGTTCATACAACTTTGACTATTGCATCAACATGGTTTCTTAATTAGTAACTAAAAAAATTCATATTGTAAACATGTACATTGATAATTAAGAATACAAATTCAAAAAAACCAAGCCAGATACTTGTATTAATTATATTCTAATTAAGAAGTAAATTCTTTTTATTGAGAGTTTAGAAACAGGTTAGAATTCTAAATATAAATTTAAATTTTGTTTATCTGAATGGAAACGCTGGCAAACTTTCATAATTGGCTAGCTGTATTTTGCCATAAGTCGCAATGACAATGGCCTTAGATCAAGCGAAGGAACTGCTTCAAGTGGAAGACGCGGATGTTCGCTTTGAATGCTTGTCAAATATCTGCTTTGAACTTTCAACGAATTCTAATGATCGACGTTATTCTTATGATGAGGCTTTTGATGTACTCAAATTGATGTTTGATATGTTTTCGAACGAAAATATGTCTGACTTGCTTCTCGAATTGACAGCCAGATCGCTCACATACTTAATAGAATTATGCGATCCTTCAGTACTGACAAAAATCAGTGCAACCCAGTATGGACATATTTGTAACCATCTTGTTGTCGTTGATCTATCAACGACATCAGGACGAGAACTCGCCGAGTGTTTGGTTAAAGTAAGCTTTCATATTTTTTGCGAATTTCTTCTTTACTTTGTAAAGACATACAGTAATTTTTAATTTTCTGTTTCAGCTGATTGAGACCATAACTCAGTTCAATGCCAAAATATTGTACCAGGCTGGAGCTCCTCTTATTTTGCTTAGATTTCTTGTGAAGTATCTGAGCCTCCAAAACCCTTTTAGAGACGTCATTAATTCGACGAGAACAATTGCAGATCGTCTCTTTCGAATCAGTGAACCCTTGGATTCCAACGTTAGCGATTGGATGTCAGTTCTAAATGAGCTCTACAGTAGTGATTCCATCGAGGTTGTCAAATGGACTCTGGAAATTTTAGGCACTATTTTAAGTCGTTTTCTTCAAACAGGTCAAGACCTATCAGTCCTTCCTACTGGTGGCTTGGATCAACGGCTTTCTCATAACTTGTTTATAATTTGTAAGAAAATTCATCAATCGCCGACCAGTGAAAAATCACGTTTCTATAACCCTTCCATTTTCGAGCTTGCCGCAGCTTCCAGGAGTGTCGGTTAGTTTTGAATTTCAATTTTTATTATTATTTTTATATTCGTTATTTTAATAATTTTTCTTTCCAGTCAGCAAATCAGTTCCACAGTTTGATAAAAGCGATATTTCGAGCATAATCAAACTGTTAAAAGTCTTAGTGGGGCTGGCGTTTTGTTCAAAAGACATGATTGAAAAAATACTCAGTGAGGAAAACAAAATTGCTTTCTGCATCGTGATCATTCTGAAGCATCTTCATGACGAGGCCGTTCTTTCTCTGACCTTTGAGCTTTTGCAGGTGTTGATACTCAGATCAACCGAACTGAATGCAATTGGTGACAGCGACTTCTCTAATTGCCTACACAGTTTTTTATCCTTCAAAAAAGCCATTGTGGCACTGAAAAGCAATGATGCTGGTGAGTTGCACGTTGGAACCTGTGGATTAGTATTGATTACTATTGTGCTTTTCACCCCCTCCTCTTTCTCTAGATACCCTTAACGATCTCTTGTCTTTGGGAATCGAACTTGATTACGTGGACAATCAGGATCAGAGTATTCTTGCCTGGGCTGCTGCTTACAGCAATGTAGAAATAGTGAAAAAGTTGATTAGCCTTTCACCTAATTCCAATCTTGAATTCGCTCTGGCTACGGCAGCAGCTTTTGGGCGAAAATCGATATGTGAAATTCTCCTGGAAGCTGGGGCCAATCCTTGTATTCCCGTAAAAGACGGAATGAATACTCTTCAACTACTGGAAAAATTCGGGCCTCGATGTGATGAAATAGTTGATCTGATAAATAGTTCAGTGCAATCTGTCGAAGCAGTAGAAACCGTTAAATTTGGAACTTATCGTTTGCTTCCAATTTACAAAGAGGAAGTGCTTTATTCAAAGGAAGGAAATTCCTTCATTATAGCCAGCGAAATACTCTTTGAGTTGGTTGATATGTTCGCGAAAACTCTCTCGGAAACGATAAAGTACAAGTCCTTTTTATTCATTCTACGGCTAATTCGAGGTCTTAACTCGAGGTGTGTGGAGGTTATAAGCGAAAATCGTGGAGACTTCCGTATCTGCCATATGATTCGCCTGGCTTTATCTCAAGAGTCTATCAAGATTGTTCGTCTGGCACTACAATTGTGTGATGAACTTGTAAAGAAAGCAGGGTCAATTTATTCCCCTCTTTTGGACAAGCATGGGATCAATGCTCTAATTAAGACGGTCAATTCTGTAATGAAGTTGCCGAACTTCCATTTCAAACTATTGGACAATTCCTCTGTTCACTCCCAAGCTCAAAAAGACTCAATGAGTGCATATTCTGATGACAACTACGTAAATTCAGATGACGAATATAATGAAAACGGCGAGGAGGAAAGTAAATGCTCTAACTATGATAACAATTATTCAGACGTAAGCTAGGAGTTGCCTTTTATGTGCTTAGCAAAAAGCGATTTTATTTGCCGTACCTCGTTGTTGTCTACTTCTTTGTCCATAGCCAGGACCTGAGGACGAGACAGAGAATGGATTTGGTGGGATCCAAGTAAGACTATCTCGCTTCAGATGCGTCTTACTGCTATTACTAACACGCTAATGCTCACCCTCTCATCACCCTAAAGTAGCATATGTGGCTTTATTTGCTCTTTTTTCTAGGCTTCCAAGCTGCCTGATCCGCCGGTATGTGTTGGCCCTTCTTTTCAACAAAATTACTTTTTAAGCACCCTCTCCTCATTACCCACTTGAAGGAATACTAATAAGTGGTTTTCTTTTCCCTTTCCATCTTATTTAGCCCCGCGTCTATCAACGACCAAGTGGCATCGTAAGCACCTCCTCTAATTTGTCTTTGCAATGGATGCTTGCATTTCCGCTTGATTTTCTTTTGGCTTCTTTTTCTCTAAGAAGAGTTGGGTCTTATTCTCTCTTGTAATAGCATTCGCGCTATGCCTTCATTTCTAATACTGCACATTGTTTGGGATATAGGCACTTTTTTTGCTTAATCTCGTTTGGGATGTTGGCCTACCCCTGTCTGCACCTCCTTAATTAATTTGATTGGAGTGAGATTTTTTCACCTCTTGGGTTTGATTGTTTTTTCGCTTGCTATTTCTTCCTGTTCTTGCATTCATTAACTGGTGGGAGTGAAGGGGCTAATTTCTGCTCTCTTTTTTTCATTTCTCGTACCATTTTAGGATACAATACCACTAGGTAGCTCTCGATTCGAGACGTGGCAGCAATGGTCGGTGGTTGTTTTTGGCGGCATTCTCTTCATCTTTTCGGAAAGAGCAGCGGTTATGATTCTCCTAGAATCTGGAAATAAGACTGTTTTTAAGGCAGCTTACTGTACTTCAGGTGGTAAAAATGTCATTTTAATTGAGGATCGAGCTACAGTTCCACTGGAATCGGGTTTGTTTACATCTTTTATAATCCTGTCTGAATACGCTGTCCTATATACTAATGGGCCATTTTTATGCATTTGTAGGGGAAGAGTTGTGGGAGAAGGTTGTCTACTTGGTTAGCAAGTTCAGAGAGTTTAGATTTGAACAAACGGGTGATCTGTTTCTTAAGTGGCCTTACTTTGATACCTCTGGACATATGCTAGTCGAACGAAGGCGGTCTAGATCTCAAGAACGCAGACAGTTGTCTTCTTTAAACAATGGGCCCAAAAGATCTTCATCTCTTCCTGCAATGAGAACATTTGAGCCCCAAGGTGAAGATTTCCAGTCTACTACTGCAGTGCATTATGCAAAGAATGAAGAGAATTACCCTGCAGTTATTAAGGTCGGAGATATATTGTTGGATTTAGTTGAAACGCCTAGTGGTACGCCCTTCATGAGGGTTTGTCCTGATCACAAGGATGCAGGCCATGCTATGCTGTTTTCGGCTTGTCTTCAACAGGGCTTCTATCTCCTAAATTTAAACGATGGTGTTGTTTACCCAGATTCTGGGTTGATACCGGTGCGCATGGATGGGCGTAATTGGGTGGTGCAACATTTGAGTGGAGTCCTGGAAAAGGATTTCGGTCAGAAGCTGAATGTGTTCGTATTTTTGTCTTTTTTCCCAGTTTTTTTTGCTTTTCTTTAGGCGTTGTATAGTGTGTTTCCCCCCCCCCCCCTTTTATAGGCATCGCGCAGGCTCGGAAGAAGGAAGTCGAGCAATTCACTTGGATGTTCTCAACTTGGCTTCGAAACTAACATCCACAGATGACCGAATTCCTCAGTCCGCACCTCCAGTACATGTGGAAAAGAAGATTGAAAGTAGCAGATCTATGATTGATACTCTCTCTGATATTGAAGGCCAGATACAATCGGCTATTAAGTCGAACTCAAAAGAGAAGGCGCTTAGAGTTTTGACTGAAGCTTTCACTCGTCTAAAAGACATCTTCTCTCCCGACAAAGAGCCTATCACTCATCATGAGATTGCGTCAAGTAATCTTGTTAGTGCAATTTTATTATGTCTTTCATCAAAGAAATTGTTAAAGTGGAGAAATTTGGTAAGCTCCATACTTCCTCCTTTCCTACCTTGAAAATCCTTTCCTTCCTTATATTCACTCTCTCTTTGTACTCACCAGGTTCAGTCCAATAAGGCTGAGGATCATTTGGTTTTCCTTGAAGCACGAAGAAATGTATTTCGTGGAATCTTTGGAGACACGGAGAATTTACAGATCATGGTGATGTGCATTCTTGACTCACTGGATCAAACAGAATGTCTTCCCCTGCATATATTTGAACAATTATCATATTCCACGAGTTATGTTCTATCTGATCAATTGGGATCGGGCAAAAATCGAGTTAAGATGAGAAACTATCCAAAGTCTGCGCCTCCAAATAAGAATAATTTGATGACGTATTTCGATTTCACTGATGCCATGATGGAAAATTCACCGAAATTGGCGACGCAGACACTTCCTCTGGGGATTATCGCGCCTCCATTGCCTTATTCCACAGATTATCACAATTTTTTAACCGGTGGCGGAATTCGTGGTGTCATTGATAATCGCCTTTTCACTTTACTTGGCTCATGGTTTCCATCGTTAAGCGCCGATCAATGCACAGGTGTTGTTTCTCATCGACAGGTCGACGAGAATTTAACCATGAAGATCCAGCGCCAACAGAACTCTCCTGGAGAGATCTTTATTGACAAGGAGCTTCTTATTCTTTCTCGTGGCTATCGATATTCACAATGCTTCAATTTTTTGGACAATATGGAACAGATGACCCGGTCAATTACGGTATTAAATAAATGGCAAGTCCATTGTGTTCTTTCTATGCAAGTGTAAAGGTCATCATTAATTTTATTGTCTTCATTGTGTTTTTCTTTTTTATAGGGATACGAGACCTCGCAACTCACTGCCCTTCCTTTATAACCTCATGCGAGGGAAGAAGAATGAGAGGGGTGTTAGAGAGCTTCCACGCCCCTTGAAATTAACAACGGGTCTAGTAAGATGGCTGGGAACGTGTGGTGGAAAGGCAGTGGAATGGAGAAATCCCTGTAACCAACGTATTGTGCTATCTTGCATCTTTGCTGCATTTTGCGATACTATTACCTCTGATCCGGAAAATGCAGCATTTGAGTTGGAGAGTAGTTCGACCAAGCAATGTAAAAAAATGGACGATCTTTCGTGCAATGAAGATATCTTGGATGGCTATGCGGTTGGCACACGATGGACCTTTGAAACGGGTGTTCATATTATTCCCAGTGTTTTTCAAGTTAATTCTATTCGCCGAGGAGGAATAAACGGTCCAATGATCAAGCACTGGTGCCTTCAAGGTTCTGAAAATGGAAGACTCTGGGTCACTATGTATGTCTCTGAGACTGCTTTAAAGGGTGATAAACCAGTACTCTTTCCTCTGAACGCTGAAAACTACAAGATTTGGTCTGGTCGGCTTAGCGGCAGCCCACACACCACAGCATATGCTCGAAAATTGTCTCATGGTGAGGAAAATCTTGTAAGAGCTGGTGTGTGTACACGAGGAGAGAAGGTGGCTAATTTCGAACCCCCCTCCTTCCGAGTTTTCCGAATAATGGATCTGACGTCGGTTGGTAAAGCCAGGAAAATGTTTGTTAGCGGATTTGATCTATTTGGAACAGTGAAATATGTTCACCACAATGTAAGCCCGAGTTCCCTTTTTTGGCATCATCTCTCTTATATATCTTTTTTTGCACGTTTGCAACTCGATCGAGGGGGGGGGGCATGACAAGAAGTAGTTTATGCTTAAGGCTGTTGTGTAAATGTTTAGTCCCAGTAATCCTTTATAATATGCCCCCCCCCTATTTGATAAAAATGGCACTGAGGAATCTTAACTATTATTCCCGTCAATGGGTATAGCAAGGACGGAGAGGCAGCAGAATGGGCATTTCTCTCCAGTGTGATAGAAAGTGTCATAATGCTGTCTATCCTTTTGCAGTTGCTCTATACATATCGAATTGGTGGTTCGCCTAGTGAAAAGCTTGCCAAGAAAAAGCCCACGCCCAAACGCAGACAACGCAGCGGAGCCCCAGGCGGTGAAGGTGAAGTTGCAAATGGGCAATCAGATGTTCAGTCAGATGACGCTATTGAAATTTCCTTTAATGAGCTGGACTTGGCAATGTTTGATACTTCAGATCAGAATGATGGAAGCTTCCACAGTTCGCATTCCGTCGAATCCACTCCCTTCCAATCTCCAATGGCACCAAGTTCGCCAGAATCGGTGTCTTCGGAAAAATTTTTTGAACTAGATGTAGGTTTCCTTCCCCTTAATTTTTTAATTAAAGATTATTTATTTCTCTAGCTAGGTGTGCATTAATGAATTCCGATCCCATGACCTCTGACCTAATCGCTACGCCATCTGTATGAAAGTAGCACTAATGCCGACAGTAAAGCTCCTTCAAGGGTCTGACCACTTTAGACTGACTATAATTATTCTAAGTAAACTGATAGTACTTTGGGCAACCGTAATTAAATAAAAGGTGAAGGGAAAAAACTCGTGCACAGCCCGAACGGGGAGAAACAACTAAAAGGTGGTGTTCCCTGAGGGCTTGGATGATCTCGTAGTGATTAATTCTCTCTGTTAAAATTTGGATGAACGGACTTGAGGCATCATTTGCTTACTACAGCGTGCGACTTAACCAACCCCTCTCATCTCATTCCGAAAACAAACAATATGGCTTATATTGATGATTCTTTTATGATAGGCTAACATTTTGGGGTTTTTAGGTTGACGAAGAAGGTCGAACGGACAATGTGAGTTCAGCATTGAAGGGCGTAATAAGTGAAAACGAAATGGCTTTGAATTCACCTGAGTCATTGCCTTCGGGAGATTTCATCAACAACTTTGAACCAGAAGTAAGTCGCTTCCCATCAAATTTTCCTGAACAGTGATTTAAGTGTGACATGGTGTCAATATCATGGCCGTTGTCTTCGTATTGTCGATTTAGGAAGTCCAGACCGCGACTGAACGAAGTGAGAGGGAATCCACGAATACGTCAATGGCTGAAGTAGTTGTTGTCGACCAAGACCAAAATCAAAATCCTCCAGATGTACGGACTAGACCAACTGAAGTGTCTGAAGCTGTTGAAGTCATTCCTGTCGCTTCTTTAAACGGTGACAGCCAAGAGGTGGGGGAGCAGGAAGCAGAACCTGAGGCTGGAGTCGAACGGAATGTTGCTGCTAATCCTGAGTCTGAAATAATTCCCGTGAGTTGTGAATGCACCTATTCAACCTTTTCCTTGGCCATTGCCATTTTTAACTTGGAGTTTGTTCTTCGGTATTATTAGGTGAATAAACTGGGAGATATGTACATGGTTGATCAAGTACAGCGAATAGTAGAGGGACGTGAACTTAATCGTTTGCCAGTCCCTATAGAAACGGTACCAGCAAATTCGATTGCTCCTTCCCTGGTTGAACACTATCATCCTCAACGACATTCTTCTGAATCCGCTCTCGCTTTGTTCACTCCTCGTATTACTCCCGAATCTACCGACAACGGGTTCGAACACTTTCTTGAAAAACCACGTTAGTTGCATTTTTTATGTGCAAACCAGTTACTTGTAAGCCTGTTTCTCAAGCTGGCTAACTTTCGCATTCCTTGTTCTCCGTTTTAGCTTCATATGAGCTTGAATTTGAACTTTTTGCCCGGCAGAAAGATGGAAGGATAGTGTCATCGGTTCTGATAGATGATACTGAAGTTCCAATTTTACACTACCTTCTGAGATTAGCCGAAAATGTTCTCTATTCCTCAGGGTCTGATGCGGAATTAGACTTGAATGACCCTCCTCTAGTGAGCTTAACTTTAGAGTATCGTATACGTGTTCCAAGTGTTAAACATCAGTCGGCGAAATCATTATCAAGACCGATCTTAAAAGCAGGTTCTTTCCTCTCCTCGAGGGATGTTCGCCTAGTTAATTTCCAAAGCAAACTACTAGAAAATTTGGGTGTGTACACATCGTCAGGCGATATACCAAAACGAATGGAGAATCTGCTGGAAGTTGTTAGCCTCTTCTCAAAAATTTTCTCTCAAAGCAGTGAGAAATTGGACTTGAAGTCTTTCAGACTGAATCAGAAGTTGGATCGTCAATTGAAAGATGTTCTTGCGGTGTCGTCGGGAGGCGTACTGCCAGATTGGTGCTTGAATTTGACCCAGTGTATCACACCCCTCTTCGACTATAACATTCGAATGAATCTCTTCCGTTCGTGCGCTTTCGGGTGTGCAAGGTCTCTGTTGTGGTTGAAAGAAATATTTCCAGGAGGTCCTAATACTGATGACGATACAGTTCGTGATTACTCTACAAGTAGTGTGGAGCTTGGCTATGCTTCCCGAATTACGTCTCTTGTAGCTAGACAATTGTCTGGTCAAGACTCGGCACAACAACAAAACTCACTTGACCACCAACAGGATCCCTATGCTGAATATGAATTGGATGATGAGACATTCAAATTTCACAGTAGAAATTGCAATTGTCGATATAGCACAGATATTGGTAGACTCTTCAAAAATTACGCCTTTGTACCGAGAGACTTGGAAGGGAAGGGGTCATTCTACGCTTGGGCAGAGCGCATAATGGATGAGCATGCAGAATGCAAACCTGAATTGGAGGTGCGTTTCCAAGGTAAGTCTTTCAATTTAATGTCATTTTGAACCAGCAGGTTAATGGTCTTCAAAATTTGACTTTCCTAATATTGCGAACTTGATTGGAATAGTCATCAGAAGTCGAAAAACACTTGTGTATTTTTTTTCAGGCGAAGAGGGTACGGGCTCGGGACCCACATTAGAGTTCTACAATCTGATCTCATTAGAATTCCGTCGAGAGTCTCTAGGAATGTGGGTTTCGTCCTATCGACTAGGAGAGTTTGTTCATCACGAGAATGGTCTCTTCCCTGCACCATATCCTAAAAATGCTGTTCCTTTGGAAGTAATCCGACGGTTTTACATAATGGGCATTACCGTGGGAAAAGCCCTTCAAGATAGGCATCTTCTTGATCTCCCTCTCTCAAAGCCCTTCCTTCAACTGCTTGCAAATTATGCCTCATCAGTTCAGAAATTGGAGAGTACTGTTGATTCGTCTGGATCTCTTGAAAGTAGCTTGAAACGCGCCACCAGTTTTGAGCAATCAAGGGAGAAGGCGCTTCTTGGAGAAGATGCGATGTTAATAGAAAGTAATAGCAATGTTAGAGGTGGACATTGGCTGACAGGTGTGTTAGACTTTGAAGACTTTGCTGAAATATACCCAGACAAAGCCACATTCTTCCGCCAATGGATGCAACATGCAGATGACGTCACTAATGTGTACCTAGAAAGTCTCTGCTTAACCATGTCATATCAGCTTGCAAGTGGAGTATGTGTGAACATTTTCGAGTTGATTTTTTGCATTTTACTCGATCTGCTTTATTCAATCTCCTGTTTATTTTTCAGGAGGAAGTAACTCTTCAAGACGTCTATCCTTGGGAGTCATCTTTAGAAGGGGATGAAGACCTTGCACCAAGTGATATAAACCTTGGAAATTATAAGGATTACATTCGTCGAACCCTTGAATTCTGCCTAGATAAGGGTATTCGGGCACAGATGGACGCTTTTAAAGGTAAGGTCGTCGTCACATTGCCTTTTCAAATGTCATTTGAGACTGCTAAAGTGTTGCTGTTGATGTTGATCTTGTTTTCCTCTCCGTTTTAGTTGGCCTTGAGCGTGTTTTGTCAATGCAGTGGCTATCTATTTTTACGAGCTCTGAATTGGGTGATCTCATCAGAGGTTCAGCAGATGTATCCTGGAATCGTCAGGAACTCCTCGAATACACCGAACCAGTCAATAACTACTCACGGGATTCACCCGGTTACCTTCTATTGATTGACGTTTTAACTGAAATGAATTCCGATGACAGACGGTCATTCCTTCGATTCGTAACCGGTACCTCGTGTCTTCCTGTTGGCGGTTTAAAGAACCTTCAACCCCGTTTGAAAGTTGCTAGGAAATCCTCTGAAGAAGGACCTTTTCCCAGCGTTAATACCTGTGCGCATTATCTCAAGATGCCAGAATTCACAGACGCCCAGGACCTCTTTCGCTCTCTCAAGATTTCTATGTCCCAAACTGGCTTTCATCTCAACTAGAGTGCTTCTTTTGTTTACTTATATTTTGTATTAGTTTTGTACAGCCGCACTATATTATCACGACTGAAGAATGTGTAAAGCGAACGTTGTCAATGGCGTAGTTTTTTCTACGGTTAGCTTAACCATAACCATTTATTATTAGTAAAATATGGCTTAGATAGCCCTAATGATTAAAAATTAATTTTCAGCATATTGCTAAAATGTCTCAATTCCATCTCTCGTTGCCATTGAATAGTCTGGGTTTGTTCCATTCTGGAATAATCGTGACAATTTTGATGAAACGACAGCAAATGCCAGCAAAGAAATGTTTGAATCATTCCACCCCCACTTCCCCCCCCCCCTCCATTCGAGGTTATAAACTTGTAACTTGGAGACCACCTCAAGGTTAATAAACCGCGATCACGAAGAGTGAAATGAGGAAGTGAGAATATTCTTCTAATTATTAAACGAGGTTGGAACTGAAGGCTATGTTATGGTCGCTATCAGGTCAGACCATTGAGAGTGTGTAATTATGGCGACTTAAACGAAATTTATTAGAATGGCAATTTATGCTTCAGTTGAATAGGATCTTTCTGAAGACAGAAGGCCTAGAAGAAGACACTGTTTTAAATCACCTGTGCAAGGCATATTTTCATCCGGAAATTCTAATGATGCCCAACTTAGTGATAATAAAGCTTATGTGCGTAAAAGTTGAATGCAGAAGACTGCCATCTTTCTTTGCCTATTTCAGAATATATATGGTTTGATCATCAGATGTACTTGCGTATTTTCAAGGGTGTGACAGCTAGAACGTGTCTCTTTCTATTAGCACATTCTCTAAAGTGCAAATCAACCTTAAACTGTCTTTGACAGGAGCTATCATAGAAGTCCCTGAAGGGGGATATTTATTGATTTCAAGTGACAGGCGTTTTGATAGTTATCATTAGGCCTTCAGTTGACTTTGGGCTTCACAGAGGGGAGGAGCATCAAAGTGAAAAAAGTCGAGAGGAGGGGGGGGGGAACAGATGAGTGTTTCAAAGACAAAGGTAGAAAAATGGTGAGGAGAGTACTGTGAAATTAGTTGAATAATGACATGCAGTGAGGTCATGGCAGTTTGAAGTGAGAAGTCAACTGTAGGTTTATAGACAGTATGAGTAAACATTGCCCAGGGTACACCACGTGGACGTAAGTCTATCGCACACCCCTGAAGAGGAATATCAAAAATTGTCTTATATTTAGAAAGCCGCTAGCATTTCTATATATGTACATATATATCCTAATTCCGAGAAAGAAGGACTCAACCGACCCAAATTACGGATATCACGTGATAGAGTTCAGTTTTCTGTAAAGTCATGGAAGACCTCAATTAACTTTGAGCTGACAAATTATAGCATTCCTGACCTCTTCTTTTTTCTGTGACTATTTAACCAAATAGTTAACCCGCCACGACTTGTGTTGAGCTTATACGTCAATCTTGAGAGAATGGTAAATTATGAAATTTAATGCCTTCATTCCAAATTCTGGAATACTCGTTCGATTTATACCGCTTCACGCTGTTCTTAATAGTGTAATACAAAGATTGGCAAAAATAAAGATCACTAAATAACAAGTTACAATGAACAATAGAGGTTAACTTAGTGAGAGATTAAAATGCACTTAATGAGAACAAAGATCGACTGAATTTAGCCAAGGCGAAGACTAAATAGAATCGGTGCATAACTTTGTCGAATGGAGTGATAGTGGTAATTCTGGCCGTTTTGACGACCGTTAAGCTGGCAAAATTTTCTCAATTCAGACCCAAAAAACATTCAAACAAATTAGGAGTTTCAGATGAATGTACATCTGCGCTAACAGTCAGTTGGAGAAATCAATTTTAACCCCCAATTTTCTGAGTTTTGATTTGCATTGTGTGCGCGTAGATAGAAGACCTAGTGAAGGGTATTGAAGCAATTTTGTAAAAATGTCATTATTTCTGAAATCACCTTACTTATTTGACTTGGTCAGAAACTATCACGCAATATGTCAATCTGAAGATTATTCCGCCCTTAAATTTCGTCTAAGAAAGGGAGTTAATGTTTGATTAAATTGATCCCTCTGGTTTAATTTATTCAATTCATATTAAGGATAGTCGCTTGTTGTAGTCAATTTAATTGGAGTCAAACGTAATCAATCAACGAATCAGGATAATTCCTATCAAATGATCTATTGATTATCCTTCAAGCTTTGGCGCAGTGTAAATGAACAGGGATTCCTAAATGTCACAATCACATGATGCAATAGCGCGCAATTTGCATACGAAAAATCAGTAATTCCAGGTAAACAACTGTTTCCTAAATGGTATCTAAGGCGAACCTTGATTGACCATTTTTACCACCTCTCCCCCTAATGCCTACCAACTTTGTTTATCCGAGTTGATTCTCACCCAAATGGATTCTACTAGCCATCTTTTCTGTGGCAGTCTTACCCTCTGCGTCACCAACATTTTAAATAACGCGTTATTTACTTCCTTGTTAGACGCATTGACTTCACACTATAACCCTTTATAAGCAAGTATTTAAATGCGTGATACCACAGGTTTGGTCAACCCCCCCCCTCCCCCCTATTATACTACTTTTTCTGACAGTACGTTCAATTCCAGCCTGTGTGTTCTTCCTAGAATACAAATATAACCTTCGTGTTACGCAATTCCTTGTAATTCTAGTCCATTGCAAGGGGTATTGCGCTATTCCAATAAAATAAATTTAGGTTAAATTGGCAAGCTTCTGCAAATTTCACTTCACCAATAATTTGCAGCTTAAAATATTACAATTCACATTTGGGAGTATATCAGATCACGCCATAAGTGTGAGATGTGCGTAAAGTGAAGAAGGACCGAACTCTGCATTAAGGCTACTTAAGACTCCTGATCAGATTAGACAACATATTCCATCACAGGACCATCGATCTAACCGAAGGCGAATAGGAATAAGAACAAACATTTTATTGTAAAACAAGAGTAAGAAATGTAAGAAAACGAATGATTAGGACGCAAAGTAAAGTTGACAACTTTGAGGACAATTAATTGCAAATCTTTTTTTAAGTAATTAAGATAATGCAGACATATGGATCAATATATGTTCCCAATAGAAATCTGCAATTGTAATAGAAGATTTCATTCGCCTTATGAAAGGAACCTGTTTTCAAGTAATTTTTAGAAGGAGAATTTACAACTGGGCCATCGGATTTTCCCTTTGGGTCTATGCAGACATCTCTTCGCTACGACAACGGAAGGTTGTAGGGTTTCTTTATGGCTGTCCGGGAACCAAATGAGGAAGGTGGAAAATCACTTGGAGATGGCGTGTGAGTAAACAGAGTAGGTTTGCATAAATTAAAAGCCCCTGATGAATAGCTAATGACACCCAGCAATGATCACGCTGTGATATTTAGGTCCTTTAACCACCTCAGTTGTAAACAGACCACTTGGGATGGCTTAATAGTACCCCACTGTAACTTAAGATCACAGTAGAAATCAAACTGATCCTATTTTGAAGGTTGAGCAGGTCTTAATAGATGGTTGTGTAAAAAGGGTAGCAGATTCGCGAGGACAAAAGAAATTTGAAATAAGGAAAAATTTAGTTTAGTTGTCCACTGCATCCTTAACAAAGCAAAATTGATCCATCTTGTAATTTGCCATATTTGTTTTTTTGATCTGTCGATTCGTCAATTCTAACAATTGACCTTTAATTATGAAATTCACAAGGGATAAGGCGTTCAATTAAAATGGTAAGTTATTTTCAAACATGGACAAATTTAGGTGTATGAATGCGTTGAAGAGGTCGAAAGCACACAGGATAGTCACAGCAGACATGCATTACTCCCGTTGGATAATATCCAACGGTGAGATGAATTCTGATCATCTTTATAGAAAGGAATGAGTATGTGGAGCCTGTGTAGCAAGTAAATCGCTGGGGCTTCATGAAAACAGAGTTTTTTTGACCTACCTAATGCAGCAAGTAAAATGATAGCATGCATAAGTGAAGTCATAACCTACTTAGCTCATTTGTTGTAAAACCACTGTCAATTCACAGTAAAAAAGCCTCATTGAATTCTTCATGATCTGAGAATATTTGCTCCAACAATCGAATTAACTACAATAACAGACGAAGGAAATGCTACTGAATTAAAACAGTCCACCAGTAGAACTCAAGGTGGCGAGTTGCATGTATGGTCTTTATGTATAGTTTATTTATTTATTTATTTCAAATGGCAGGCATTATGATAGGTATCATTAGCCCTTTAGTTGACTTCGGGCTACACAGAGGGGAGGAGGAACATCCAACTGGTAAAAAAGTCGAGAGGGGGAAGAATAATGATTCACAGACGTAAAAGAGACAGACGGACACAAAGGTAGAGAAAAAGGTGAGGTGAATACTGTGGAATTATTCGAATATGAAATTCAATAGGGTCATGGTAGTTTGAAGTCCGAAGTCAACTGCCGATTTATAGACTTTTTTGCCGTATGAGTATACGTTGCCCAGGGTGCACCACGTGGAGGTAAGTCTATCGCACACCCCTCTTTATGTATAGTAGGAATTG